GGGGGGGGGTGGGGTTGAGAATTCTTGTGGGTTTACAAAAATATGATCGTGATCATACATAAAAGTTCGAAGGACAAAAAAATCTTTAATTTATAACGACTTTTGGATTGATTCATGGACTATAGTCATTGCAGTTTATCATATTTGAGGAACTTCAAGTTCAACATGTTGGATTCACATTGAAGAATGTAGGACCAATCATGGTCTAAACTATGAGCCAAGGCCAAGGAGTTGCCTAGTGAGCTAAAGGCCATGCTCAGTTGGGTTGACTCCATTCTCTTGCTTTAGCAGTGAGGTGATTGGTCTCGACAAACACGAAGGATAGCTCGATGCTTACATGTCATATCTTGTTTCGTTCATCTAATTAAATGGGTGCTTAAAAACATCTTTTTAAAGTAAGATAATATCGTAAAAAATACTTTTTGAGTACCTTTAGTACATGTTGGGAAAATAATCAAACTATAATCATTTCTGGTCGAATTTACTTTTTGATCCACACCTTTCATAGTATCTACGATTACGACCTGCTTATTGTCCATACATTCAGTAAGAGTCTCACGATTTATAATCACTTTCCAATCATCTTAGCAAAACATGCTATTAATAAGTTTAAGTGAGTCTACATTACCACTCGTCTACCACCTTAGCATTGATTTAAACAATTTATTTTAAATTGATGGAGGATAAGTATCAAATACTAGTCAAAAGGGATAATCACAGACAATAAATTAATATATGTTTACACAACTTGATGTCGGTCAATTCTGGTCATTTCTGAAGGTAATCAACTCGAGTGAACAGCTAAGATTAAATCATTTAAAACTCAATTTCGTTATTACTAAGCTAAGTAAGATTAATTAATTAGCATGCATATACAGGCTGGAGGAAACAACTTCGTACCTACTTTGAGAGGTCAATTAAAAGGAGTCAGCTAAAAAAAAAACATTAAACTCACGTTGAGGATGTCAATTAAAGGAGCCAGATACTCCTTTACCGAAGTTCAGCACAGGCACTCGACCTCATCAAAGCTTTCCAAGTCTAAACAATATTTTAGGTTCAAGAGTTTGGTACAAGTGTATAATGCACATAAGACAGTGTAACCCATCAATTAAAATTCAGAAACACCAGTAAATCCTTTTGATATTCACAAACCGACTGAATATTTTCCTTTAAAACAAGTGATCACTTACTCTTAGCGTTCTAAAATGCATGCTTAGACTTGAGGTATGGAGAAAATGCCTCGCCTCATGTCAAGACGGGAAAATAGACAGCCAACTCTACGTTGACCGCCTAATGCATGTATAAGCGGGAATAAGACGCGCACCTTTCTTTTTTTAGGTAGGATTTCCTTGTTTGTAAGTCTAGCTTAGCAAAATGCTCAACTTTTGCTAAAATTTAAAGAGAAAAAAAGTCCAACAAAAATCTCACCGTGGCCCAAACTCAGCCTACAAACATAACTTTCTGAACGCACGAACAAAACATTATTAATTTGGAGTATCGATGATTTTGAGAATCATGTTTTTGTTGGGAATATGAAAATTATATATGAAGTTCCAATAAATTTTCAAAGGTATGCAATTATTTTATTTATTTATTGATATACAACAACCAAAACAATAATAAAAATCAGAAAATATCTTATTATGTCTAGGCTTCACTTAGGTACGCTTACACTCGCAAAAATTAAGGTTTGACACCCGCATCTTGTCTCGCCTTTTATAAACTTGCTTGCTCCAAGTAATTAAGCAAGTCATTCTTTAATTTTGATAAATAAAAGTCAATTACCTAAATCGACAAGTTGAATCACCCATCACATCTCACTCAAACACAAATCCAACTGTCTCATATGACCGACTTATTAGTTATTTATATTTTTTTAAATTTCAACGTCAACAAAACCAATTAAAAATTGTTCCAAGCCTCGTTTCTTGAAATCTAACCCATTCACATTGAATTAATTAACTCTTAAATTTTGGGAATCACGTACATCAAGTAGCCAGTACAAATAATATTAGTATTATGGGAGCAAGATTTGCATTAATTTGATGTTAGGACTGCCATAATTTGCTTCAAGCATTTATTATTTTGTACTAGACATGATCCCTTGAAGTGCTGGCATTAATTATTTTTATTCAATTAAATCACGTAGTTAATATGTTTAAACAAATTAATCCGGCTCCACTTTCCCATACATAGACTTTTTTTATACTCACACACGTGCAAAGTCAATGTTTAAGGAGATATAGGATCCAAAAGATCAAGGATTCGTTATAGGATCATGAAAAATATAAGTAATTTGAACATTTTGTTACAAAGTTACCTCAACGTTGGAATTTTACTGATTGGTCTGTGTCAACTTACGATGAGATGTAGGTGCTCCGGGGTTGTTTCAATTTGTGATTATTTCTCCAAGCTCAAATTTTGAGACCCTTGAATTTTTTTCTCTAGACCTTAAATTACCGTGTTTTTTTTTTAAGTGTGCCCCTTTGTGAAAAGAGTGACAAAACTATTTATAGTAGTTCTAATAAGGCTGAAAATTGATCTCATGGGCTTGTGATCGAGTTGATATTTGTTGTCCACTTTTGCCGTCCAGCCAATTAATTATTGACACGTCATTTTAAATTAACAAATCATCAATTTGATGGGTTAGTGACGAAGTTAATGATGGTAAATTTGAGAAAATATGTTAATTAAAAAATGATGTGTCAATAATTAATTAGATGGACAACAAATTAGGCAGCAAAAATGGACAATAGATCTCAATCCCTTGTGATCGTACTATGGCCCCGTTTGGCCACCATTATTTGTCATTTTAATTTTTCGAATAGTATTTTTTTGAAAAATGTATGGTTAAAAATGAAGAAAAAGTTTTGCGTTAGCGTGTACTATTATTTTATTGAAAAATGTGTGATTGATAAAAAGAGAAAAAAATGAATTATAATTTCAATGGAGGCGGGACTAAGTGATCACACCCTTATAGGTTGCGATCGCGACATATATTTTATAAAGCTGCTGGAATTCGTCCTAGGTCCTTTGCTATCGCATATGAAAAGGTCCTTGCAATCGCATGGGCCAACCTTTTTTTCAGGTTGTACAATTTGGTCCTTGAATCCATTCTCTTGTTTGGCCAACTTCATTCTCCATTGCGTGATAGGCCCTTCAACATCTAAACATGATGTATTGATCCCTAAAACCCAGAATTTGTACGTTTCTACTCATTTTTCATCCAAACTCACCCCTTTTCATCATTTCATGTCCAAATTCGGATTTTCTCTTAAATTAATCATGACGCACACAAAATTAGATTTCTAAAATATTAAAGCAATCCCAAATGATCTCTTTTGATGGCCCGACCAAATGTATAATCATACCCTTGGTATATAATGGCCTTATTTAATACTACGCATCCAAGTTTTTGAATTTCCCCTCTCATTTCTTGCGTTCTACCCTTACGAAATTCAAGTTGATCTTTCAATTTTCAATTAATTATTGAATAATGTTATCTAACACGTAAGAATATCTCCAAGAGGCTTTTCAAAAGTGAAATGCGCTCTTGATTTTAAGTAGTCAAATATTAAAATTAGACTTCAAGGTATTCCTTATTTTAATTTTTAAGAGCATATCTATTTATAAAGAACATATAATGTATAATAGATAATATCTTTATGTTTAGAGTGAGTGTTTTTTTTTAACACTCCAACAAAACTTTCTATTTTGATTATCCATTT